CCACCAAACCTGGCTTTTCCTGCACACACAGATAATTTCTCCCCTCTTTGCAAAGCTCACTGAGAAAAGCCTGGCTTTTCCAGTTCTCACTGGACTTTGAGCAAACCTTGGGCCGAGGATCTGTCACTCAGGGAGCAGAGGGTGCCACCCCCTTGTCCAGCTTTATTTATTTCTTATTTTCCCTCCTCCAGCCCATCCCGGCCCGGCCATTGGTCAGGGTGCTGTGCTATAAAACCACGATGTTCTATGAAACCATAAAACCACCCCCAGCCTAAACCCAGCCCAAAGCCAGCCCAAAGCCAGCCCAAAGCCAGCCTAAAGCCAGCCTAAAGCCAGCCCCAGCATCCTGCAGCTGCCCCAGGACATGCCCAGGATCCCGGGCACGGGGAAGGAGCCCTGAGGGATCAGGAAAAACTCCAGGAAAACCCAAATTCCGTGCTCAGCACCAAGGTAACGATCCCATGGAGAGCTTTGCTGTTCTGGGCTTTAATCTGCAAAAAAAAATATTTATTTATTGTGCCAGGGTGGGTTTTGGAAGGATTTTCAGCCTCCTCTGGGAGGTGTTGAAGGGACTGGAGAAGGTCCAGGATGTGGCAGAGGGAAATCCATGTGAGGGAAATCCATGTGGGAGAGGAGAAATATTATATATAATCCACTGAATAATAATAATAATAACAATAATAATAACAATAATAATAACAATAGTAATAGTAATAGTAATAGTAATAATAATAATAATAATAATAATAATAATTTATTTTATCTATAATGATGTCGTCATATTTCTATAGTATTATATAATAGTATTATATTTTTATTATATGCACTTAATCATTAATATAATTATATATTGCATACAAATAAAGATGAATATAGATATAAATATAAATATAGATAGAGATATAAATAGAGATATAAATAGAGATATAAATAAATTCATTTATTAAATGAAAATAAAAGAAATTAAATTAATGAATTAAATTAAAAAGAAAAGAAATTTCCAGTTTGGTTTTCTCTCTCCCTGGTGTCCATGTCAGGATTCCTGTGGGTTCAGCTGCGATTTAGGTTCAGAACTGTTAAAATTCCCCCTGGGATGGGTGAGAGCAGTTCTGGATCTGGGATTTAACCCTGCTGGATTGCTTTGGGTATTATTTTCATATCTGAACCAGCTCCTTGATGCTCCTGTGCCTCAGTTTCCCTCAGCTGAGGAAGGGCTGCACTTCCAAACACTCCAGGATGGAATAAATGACAGCTGGACAGGAGAAAACAGGAGAAACAAAGATTTTCTGTGCCCGAATTTTGGATTTAGTGTAAGATTTGATTGGGTTTAGGGCGAGATGGGGAGGAAGTGTTTTTGTCCTGCACTGCCCATGGAGGGGCTGTGTCCTGTGATCCTCCCTCACATGAGCTCCTCTGCCCCAGGGTTTGTGTTTTTGCTTCTCCATTTTTCTCTGCCGGAGCTCTGAGGTCAGGCTGGGCACAAGGAGCAGCCCCGGGATGTGGGGGAGGCTCTGGGCAGGAATTCAGGGGGGCTGTGGCACCTTGTGCCATCAGAGCTGTCCCTGCGAGCCCCCGGGGAGCTGGGGACACTCCCAGGGGACAACTGGGGTGGCTGAAATCCCTGGAACAGCCCAGAGCAGGGATTTGTGTCCTTCGGGGTATTCATCCATTCCCTCTTCCCTTTTGTCAGGAAAATGAACCCACAAACACCAGAGGTTGGTGTCCAAAAAGGAGGCAGAGGAGTTTTTTACTTTATTGAATAAAGGAGAGGCCGTGGGGCTTTCCCCTGGGAGCTCTCAGATTTTTGGAGGACTCCCCTCCCTTTTTATCCCAATTTCCCTCTCTCTTTCCCCATTGCTGAGGGACTGGAGAGGCCCAGACTTCCCAAACCCTGATCCCTGAGATTCCCCTCGAATGTACAACCCTCCCTTGGCATTTTTAATTCTTAGGGAATTCATGGGTTTTCCCCATTGCTTCTTTCACCTTTCAATATCCAATTTCATTTCTCAGCAAACCTGCAGTCTGTCTGTAAAGGCAAATATATTTTTTTTTATTCCATTTATCAATCAGTGGAATCCATCCCATTGTTCCTTTGATCTCTCAGTGCTGGTTTTATCCACCAGCAGCCCCACAGCTCGTTTGGAAGGACAAATCCGATATTCCTCTCCCTTTCTTCCCCTTCCCTTCCCAGCCCAGGCATTTCCACCGAGCCCCAGCCCCCGGGGGAGGCACAGCCGTGTCCACAGGAGCTGGGGTCAGTCCTGGGGGGCTCCTGGCCGGGTCTGGAATTCCTGGAGAGCCCTGCTACAGCCTGGGGGTGTCTTGGGAAGCAGATCCTGGGTTTGGGATCACTCTGGAGGAGTCAGAGCAGAGCTCGAGTCCCTGCCCTAATCCCTGATCCCTCACTTGTTCCCTGAGCAGGGAAATCCCAGGGACTGTCAGAAAGGCTCCAGCTCCCAGTCCAGCCACAGCAATTCCTTCAGAGCCTCCACAGTTTGTGTTCCAAAGTGTTCCTGGACCCCTCCAACCAGCAGCCCCCCAGATTCATCCCTGTTTGAGGAACAGACTGGAGTCTGCTGCCCTCTCCCACTCCTTCTCTGGGCCCATTTCCAAGCCTGGATCCCCCAGAACCTCAAAGCCACATCCCCCAGGATGGTGCCACCACCACCGCCAGCTTTCTGCTGTGGTTGTGGAGCTCTTCCTGCCTGGAGGAGCTGTGCAGAGCTCAGGGGTTATTTATGGGATCTGCAGTCTGGAGAGCTCTCACTGTGCCAGCAGCCAGGGCTGGGGGCAGCCCAGGGGCATTTACAGCCCTGAGCTCGGGGGTTTGGGGAGGAAGAGGTGCAGATGGTGGTGGTGAGGATGAGGAAGGAGGATGGGATGTCAGGGATCAACGTGGCACTGCTGGAAAAATCCCTGCAGTGTTTTCTGGCTGTGCTGGGGAGGGGGTGTTGGTGAGGCTCCACTTCCCCCCTGGAATGAGCTGGAAAAGCTCTGCTGGCTCTGGGGACCCTGAGGTGGGACTGCAGAACTGCCCAGATGTGCAGACAAGGACAGAGGTGCCCCAAAACTGCAACCTCAACCTGGCAGGACCCAAAACTAAACCCCAAAACTAAACTCCCTGACAGGAGGGGACAGGCAGGAGGGATTTGGGGTCTTATCCCAGGGAATAGGGCCGGTAGGAGAGGGAACAGCCTCAGGGTGGTCAGCAGGAATTTCCCCATGGAAAGGGTGGGCAGGGACTGGAGCTGGCCGGGGAAATTTGGATCCCCATCCCTGGAGGTGTCCAAGGAAGGGCTGGAGGTGACACTCGGTGCTCTGGTGACAAGGTGGGCACTGGGCACAGCTTGGACTCCACGATCCTGGAGGGTTTTTCCAACGTTAATGATTCTGGAGTTCTAATGGAGGAGCGGGATGGGCACAGAGGGAAATTGGGGCTGCCTCAGGAGCAGCAGTGCAGGAGGTGCTGGCACTGCTCCCACACTCGCTGGGCACACTCAGGTGCCCCCAGCCCCTGCAGGGCCGTGTCACAGCACAAGGGACAGGGTGTTCTCCTTCCAGTTTGTTTTCTGAAAGGTTTAAATTTAGCAGCACAGTCCCCACCCTCAGGGTCAACAGCTCTGACCCGCTGGGATCCGATCTGGCGTCGTTTGTGTTTGCTGGGAGGATGGAGCTCTCCAGCAGCTCATAAATAGAATTAAATCAGAAAACAGAATATCCCAGGCTGGGAGGGAACCACAGGGACCATCCAGCTCAGCACAGACACCCCAACATCCCCCCCGGGCATCCCTGGAGCAGAGTCCAAACTCTCCTGGAGCTCTGTGGGGCTGTGCCCATTCCTCTGGGGGAGGGAAGAGCCTTTCCTTGGTATCAACCTAAGCCTCTGTGACAGAGCTCCAGCCATTCCCTGGGGTCTCTGTGAGCAGGGATTGGAGCTGCCTCTCTGCTTTCAGACCTTTCAGACCCCAGCGAGGTCTGACCTCAGCCTCCTCCTCTCCAGGCTGGACAATCTTCTTCTCTCCAGCATCCCATCCCTCCATCCTCTAAACATTTCTCTCCCTGGTCCCTTTCTGCACTGGCAGATCCCAGTCGCTGTCGTCTGGAGAGCAGAGAAGGAAGACAGCAACTCTGCTTCCTCTCAGAAAACAGAAGGAATGATTTATTGTACAAGTGCACACAGTTTATCGACCACTGAACCACGAACGGGACCAGCTCAATGGTCCAAGGAGGGCAGCACCTCTTGCAAACAGCTTTTACCAAAATGTCACATCTCACACACACTGCCTGTGTTCACACCACCAGGTGTAACTTTGTTATTAATTCTTTCCTTTCTGTTTTCCTTCCAGCAGCCTGGGGAAGCTCACATCGCTGTTTTCCCGACTCCACTATCCACAACCTGCACCATGAGCTGGGGCTCCTCAGCAGGACCAGTCCCAGCCCTGGCCATTCTCCTGAGCTGCCTTTTCTCAGGAACACTCACCCAGACCCCAGGGCCCTTCCAGGACAGCACCGTGGCCCTGGAGCTGCCGGGCCAGGAGCATCCCCACAGCCTGGTTCAGCCTGGCTTCCTCCAGGGCGTGCCAGTGTCCAACGTGTCCGAGGTGTCCCCCTCGGAGCCGCCCCTGCTGCCCGTGTGTGCCCGGCCCGCCGACATCCGCCACGCCTTCAAATACATCAACACCATCGTGTCCTGCTCCATCTTCGTGGTGGGCATCATCGGAAACTCCACGCTGCTGCGCATCATCTACAAGAACAAGTGCATGAGGAACGGCCCCAACGTGCTCATCGCCAGCCTGGCCCTGGGCGACCTGCTCTACATCCTCATCGCCCTGCCCATCAACGTCTACAAGGTGGGCACGGCCGGCCTGGGGCTGCTCACACCTGGGAGGGGCTCCTGGGTGAGCTGGGGTTGTCCCTGGATTCCTGCAGGTGCCCCAGGCCAGCTTGGATGGTGCTGAGTTTGTTTTCGTTACAGAGCCGGGCAGTTATCAGTTGGTATAAAGTTGTTTATTGCAAAGGCACATCAGTCTCCAAAGACAAAGAATCACAAGCGTTAAAGTCCTTGCTAAAAGTTTTTGGCATAGAGTTTGAAATAGAAGCAAAGTCCCAAGTAGAAGTGGGAGCTGCTCCTGTTGAGGTCCCAGCAGGGCTGATGTTGTTGCAGCAGCTCCTCTCTTCTTCTGGGTGACGATGATGGTGGTGAGGAGAGGAGAAAAGAGAGAGCAGGAGCAAGAGCAAATTTTTCTTCAGAGATTCTTATACACAAATTACCCAACAAGCTAAAAGCACAAACTCGAACCATTAGTTCTTAACCTGTTAAAATTCTAGTTTTTTAGCACGCCAGGTTACATATAAACTACACATATGGTCTATCTTGTTCTGTCTAAACGTAAGCAATATTCTTACTAGGTTTTTATTATGTCTAAAACTATGTTTTGGAGCTTTCAAGGAGAATTGTTTTTTAAGACTTGTTTTCTACACTGATGTCTAGGGCTTTTGCTCTTTAAGGCACTTGAAACATACTCTTACTTATTTAAACTTACTTATCTAAAACTTAAACTTACACCTCTATTTCATTTCTGTGGGACTTAATATATTGTAATTTCTCTAAAAGCTTTCATTCAAACCCTGCATTTTGATCTCTCCCTGAGGAACTCAGAGAGGCCTCTGTTCTTCAGACTCCAACAGGATGGGTCTTGGAGCAGTTTGGGACAGTGGGAGGTGTCCCTGCCACTGGCAGGGTGGCAGAGGTGGCCCTGGATGGGCTTTAAGGTCTCTTCCAACCCAAACCATTCCATGATTCCACAGTTGTAGGATTCTGTCCTGCCCCAGTGCTGGATGGGCTTTGAGGTCCCTCTGGAACCCTTCTGGGGTTCCCTGCTTTGTGTGGAGGAAAGAGCTGGAAGGGGTGGCTGGTTCTGGGGTGGCCTCAGGGCTCAGGGGGGCAGAGGGGCTGTGAATTCTCCTCGTTCTCCTCTGGAATGAGCGGCCTGGATTTCTCCAGCCTTCGGGACCCCTTGTCCCCACCTCTGCCTGTCCCAGCTACCAGGAGAGGGAGTGTGCTCAGGGGTCAGAGCTGCAAAAGGCTCTGGAGCAGTCCAGGCGGGATTTTGGCTGTGTCAGAGCACGACTCTCATTGTCCCTCTGAAAACATCCCAGAGCAGCCCAGTGTGGAGTTTAGGACTCAGATCCACCCAGAACCCCCCAGGCTCTGCAGGCAGGACCTGGTGTCTGGACCATCCTTTGTTTGTGCCCAGCCCAGTTCCCCAGTGCCAACAAACCACGGGAAAGCGCCCAGGGCACATTCCCAGGGGTGGGAAGCTCCGAGAGCTCTCCCCGCTGTGGGAAGAGCTGTGGGGAGCCCAGAGGAGCTGGAAGAACATTCCCAAAGCAGCCTGGTAACCTGTGGGTCCTCCCCAGCTCCTGGCCAAGGACTGGCCCTTCGGAGTGCAGGTCTGCAAGCTGGTGCCCTTCATCCAGAAAGCCTCCGTGGGCATCACGGTGCTCAGCCTGTGTGCCCTCAGCATCGACAGGTGAGACACAGCAGCCACACCTGCCCTGCCCAGCCCGGCCCTGGCACCACGGGCTGAGCCAGGAGCTCGTTCCCAGGCCAGGGCCAGGATGGGGACAGGCTGCTCTACTGTGGAGCTGGAATTCCAGAGCTGGAATCCAGCAGGGAGAGGCCAAGGGGAGGATCGTGGTATGGGTTGGTGGGGTGGTGAGGAAGGGTGGCCGAGGACAGCCCCCATCCCTGTATCCCATCCCATCCCATCCCATCCCATCCCTGTATCCCATCCCATCCCTGTATCCCATCCCTGTATCCCATCCCTGTATCCCATCCCTGTATCCCATCCCTGTATCCCATCCCATCCCTGTATCCCATCCATCCACTGAGCCCCTGTTTCCCATTCCCACTCTTGGGGAGGTTCAGGAAGGTGTGAGGGAAGTGACCTTTGGGGACAATTCCACTCTGCCCCTTCTCCTGCCCTGCTGGCTGTTTGTCTCAGTGCCACTGCCCCTGTGCCCCCACGCCGGGCAGGTACCGAGCAGTGGCGTCCTGGAGCCGGATCCAGGGCATTGGGATCCCCATGTGGAAGGCTGTGGAGGTGCTGCTCATCTGGGCCGTGGCCGTGGTGCTGGCAGTGCCCGAGGCCATCGCCTTCGACATGGTGGAGCTGAGCTACTGGGAGCAGCACCTGTGGGTGTGCATGCTGGCCTCGGAGCAGAAATCCCGCTTCATGAGGGTACCACCCCCACCCCGACCCCAAACCCAACCCCAAACCCAACCCCAAACACAATCCCGACCCCAAACACAACCCCAACCCCAATCCCGACCCCAAAC